TGTATATGTACCATAGTCTTTATCCAGTCCCCTATCATTGATTGGCATTTAAGGTTGAATTCATGTCTTCTATGTGAATAGTTCTGCAGTGAACAAATAACATGCATCGCGTCTTTATGACAGAACAACCTTGATATTCCTTGGTATATACTCAGTAATGGAAATTGGCTATCAAATGGTAAATTCTTTTGTAGCTCTTGATGAATACCCCAACACTGCTTTCTAACAAGGCCGCAACTAATTTAAACCACTCCCACCAGCAGGTTATAAGCACTTTTCCCCACAACCTCACCAGTATCTGTATCTTGACTTTTTATTAATAGCCAATCCGACGGTGGAGATAATATATTGTGTTTTGACCTTCATTCTCTAGTGATCATGAATGTATCTTCCTTCCCACCTTAACCCCCTGATATACTAATATATTTTACGTTTGTATAATTTTGTCATTTCAAGAATGTAATATAATATGGTATCAATACGGGCTGTAACCTTTTGGTATTTGTTTTTTTTTTTTTTTTTTTTTTCCGCCTCCTGACTCTAACTCTCCTGGAGATAACATCCACATATGTGTTGTTTTGCAATAGCTTGTTTTTTTTTTTTTTCATTCCTGAGTGTTCATGTAGGATAATATGGTATGGAGATACTACCACTGTTTAGCCATTTGCCCATTTATGTCTGGGTTGTTTCCAATTTTTGGCTATTATGAATAAAGCTTCTGTAAACATTCTTGTACTTTTTTTGTGGTTCTTTTTAAAATTATGGTATCATACACATAACATAAAATTTACCATCTTAAACATTTTTAATGGTATAGTTCAGTAGCTTTAAATATTTTCTTACTGTTATGGAACTAACACTATCATCATCTATAGAACCCTCTTCATCTTGTAACACCCAAACTGTACCCATTAAACAGTAACTCCCCATGTCCCTTACATTTAGTCCCTGGCTAGTTCATTTTTGTCTCTATGAATTCTGCTTTTATAAGTGGAATCATAGAGTACTTGTCCTGTTGTAATTGGCTTATTTCACTTAGCATGACTTCTTCAAGGTTCATGTTGTAGCATGTGTCAGAATTTCTTTTTAAGGCTGAATAATATTTCATTGTATGTATATACCACATTTTGTTTATCTACTCATCCATTGATGAATACGTGGGTTACACTACCTTTTGGCTGTCATGCATAATGCTACTGTGAACATGGCTGTACAAATATCTGTTTGAGTCCCTGCTGTCCTTTTTTTTGGATACCCAGAAATGGAATTGCTGGATCACATGGTTATTCTATTTTTATTTTTTGAGAAGCCACCATATTGTCTGTTTTCCATAGTGGCTGCACCATTTCATATTCTATCAACAGTGCACCATGGTTCCAATTTCTCCATATCCTTGTTCTTTCCTTTACTTTTTAAAAAATAGTTGGCATCCTAGTGGCTGTGAGTTGGTATTTCATTGTCATTTTGATTTGCATTTCGATAATGATTATGCTGTTAAAGTGTCTTTTCATGTGCTTATTAGCCATTTTTATATCTTTCTTAGAGAAATATATATCCTAGTCCTTTGCCTATTTTTCAATCAGGGTTTTTCTTGTTGAGATAATAGGAATTCTTCATGTGTTCTGGATATTAACACTTGTCAGATATGGCTTGCAAATATCCCATTCCATGAGTTGCCTTTTCACTCCATTGATTGTGTCTTTCACTCATTGTGTCTTTTAAATTTTTATCTTTTTTCTCTTTTATTGTCTATGTTTTGGTGTTATATCCAACCTTTTCTCCTATGTTGTTTTCTAAGAGATTTATAGTTTTAGCTCTTACATTTAGGTCTTTAATCCATTTTGAATGAGAATTTGTATATGGTATAAAGTGGGGGTCTAATTATTTCGCATGTGGTTATCT